AGCTAGGCATTCTGGGTGTGTCCTTGTGTGGGCTACATGCACTGTCTTATTGTAGTTGAGCTTTTATTGCTGTTGGTGTCACTGGAAGGAATTTATCTCTAGGCCAATTGACTGTGAGGACCAACTGTGATTACAGTGAAAGAGCTGCTGTGCAGGAGATACCCCTATGGAGCAGGACTTGCTTTAGTGGGGCTTTGGTGCTCACTGATTCTGCCCCTTGAGTGTGTCACTTGTGGATATGTAGAGTTGTAATCTGGTAAGGTTTGAAGCTGTCCACTAGGTTCACTGGCTCTAGGGCCTACCAGGAGGTGCAATAAGCCACTTTCTGGGGCCACCCTTCAGGAGCTATAGAGCCATCTGCAGATGGCTGCTACTTGTATTGCACTTGGATGTGCCCAGGTGAAGCCAAGGCAAGCTGATGAATCAAGGCAAGCTGATGCTAGTGCTGGGTCTTGGGCCTCTTATTGATAGGTAGGGGACATGCTGACGCTGGCTGTTGCTTGTTTAAGAGATTTTAGAAAAGTCTGAAGCCTGAGCCAGAACAGGCCATTCATATGGAAAAGCCACTGCAAACAATTTGGATGGGCCTGAAAATTGGATAGGGTGGTGTCTTAGGGTGTCACCAGGGCAGAGTGAACAGTATGAGCCAAGCTGATGGAAACTCAGATATGGCTGCCAATCAGCTCTGCAATAGGGGAGGTCCCAGCACAGGAACATGACCCCTGCAAGCATCCCCATCTGGAGAAAGCTGCCCCTGAGTTCTTTCCCTGATGCCAGAAAATCCAGTTCCTCCCTGAATATCCCAGTTTCCTTTCAAGCCCCCCGCCCCCCCGCCCCAAGCATTGGAGCCCAGAGTGATCAAGTCCGAGTAAGTCTATGTGCTGGCCCTTTAAAAGGAAGTGCTGGGACTCCCACAGTCTTTGTTTCATTCAGCCACAATCCCTGCTGGTTTTTACATCCTGAAGTTATGGGGAATTCTCTTCCCAGCTCTGGAACCCTGGGCTGGGAGTCTGGGGGGGGGGGGGACTGGAATCCCTTGCTCTTCACCAGTGGCCTCCACAGCAGAGATATCCCTCCTGATTAAAACACCACACATGGATGTCAGACCAGCCTGTTCCATGCTTTTGCTCCTCCTACCAGTCTCAATGTACTTTTTTCTTTACTTCTCAGATTTCAGGCAGTTTGCCTGGTGTTTTTTCTAAAAGAATAAGACACAAGATTCAGAAACAAAATCCAAAGACGAATCAAAAAGTCAGTCTCCTGCTACTCTTGTCTACTCAAAAGAGTGCTAAACCACAATCTGTTCTAACCCATTCTGCTTTTCAGCCCTTGGCCCATGATGGGATTAATTCAAATGTTAAAGCGGTCAGGACCCTTGGGACACAGGAGAATTTTCCCCCAACCAATAATCAAGCTCTATTAGCATAACCAGAAGACTACTTAAATAGGAGGAGGTCCTCTGACATCTACTTTTTTACCTCATCTGGGGTGTGATGGTGGGCCATCAACCCAGCCATAAAGCTTACCTCCTTTGAGAAAGGTTCAAAGGAAAGACTCATCACTATTTCTTTAATTTTACTTCAAATATGCCTTGCTTCTAGACACAGGCTTCTCTTAAGAATTTTGCAAGCATAACATCTTTTTACCAATATGTATTTTATTATTTGGGAAATGTTGCTAGTACATTAGTCTTATAATGTGATCAATAGTCACAGTTTGTTAATTTTATCTCTTCCCCCAAGAAAACGGGGGGAAACTAAATGTGAAATATAAATGGTGAAAATCAGGGAGTCTTTAGTAAAGGGGAATGTAGCTGATACTTCTCATTTTTCAGAGGTTGAGACTGAGGCTCAGTGATGGTGCTATTTACCTGGCTACAGGCTAGTTAGTGATGGATCAGAATCGAAAGCTTACGCTCCACAAATGCGGTGCCAGCATTGTTGACAAATTCTAAGTCTAGGCCAGATTTGGAGCATCTCATCCCCCAACGCCATCACAATGCCAGCTTTCATTGCCCCAGAAGAATCATTTGCATCAGCTAAAGTATTACCAGGCCTAAGAAGAGAGGTCTATACTAGTGAAATGGGGCCACAGCCCAGGAGATCATGCTCCCCTCTCGAGCCTGCTTTGCATTTTCTCTCAGCTCGACCGGAACAGAAAGAACAGACTGGAGGAGAGCCAAGGCCCCGTTTTCCTCTTTGTGTCAAGAGCCACAGGACTGTTCAGTTCCTTCCTCTGGGAAGGAGCTGCTGTATGTTTTTACTTTGTTATTATTTTTTTTACTGGCTTTTAAATTGTTCCCTATAATTACAACAGCACCAGATATCATGTGCATGCTGAGTGCCAAGCCTGAGCCAGCTTTCCACATGTATAATCTCATGTAATGCTCAACAACACCCCTAGGAGGTGGGAATATCATTCCCTCCATTTCACAAATGAAGACTGTTAGGCTCAGGAGAAGCTAAGTAACTTCTCCAAGTTCTGAATTCGGGTCTGAATGAGGGCAAAGACCATGGTCTTAACAATTACCCTGAGTCGACTTCTTCTGGGTTTGGTCCTACCCTACCCAATCTGGAGTTTCTCCAGTGGGCAGACTTTTCTTTTTTTATAGGGCCCCTGCAGAGTTCCAGGTCAGCAGCAGGTCACCATCTCTGAGCACTCCCTTCCCAGCCATTTAGGAAAATTGGAGTCTATTCTATTTATATTTAAATTTTATGAATAGGATTGGGATTCAACTTTGAAAAGGTTTCTCCATCCTTCAAAATGTGATACTCAAAACCCAAATCCCTTAACTGCATGCTTTGTATGTACATTCATTTATGCTAATTTCATCACAGCGTCATTTCATTGGGACCAGAGTGGACCCAACAGTTCCCTTGACGAGTGGATCCCTGAGACTTCCAAACAGTTATCAGAACCCCTAGAAGAGGGCAAAGATCCTCAAAACAGCACCCTCTCAAGGAAGAACAAGTTTCCCCATCCTGCCCACCCAAGCTGGACTTCCAGGCATGGGCTGCCCTTATCCCCCTTTAAAAAGCCCATGTTTTCACTGCTATTCACCCAAACCAAAGGCTTAAACTGAAGCAAAATGCCATCATAAATAACCAAAAACAACCAGTGGGCTTTGTTTGGTGCCCCCAGCTTAATATAAAGATAGAACTAGAACAGACTGTTTTTGGAAGATTTATTGTGGAGCCATAATGTGTTTTAGTAGGATTAAATGTGACATCCAACATGCTATAAATCTCCATTACTATTTAATTATTCATCACTACATCAGTGTGATCTTCTTGGAATGCCCATGGTACTAAATTGACTGAGCCCCACAGTAAACTGACTCTCTGTGGATGCACAAATTCAGCCCCCAAACTCCCACCACGGGTGAGAGTCGGATTTAGACGTGAGAACCAAGGGGACTGCCGGGCCAAGGTTGTGTACAAGTGATGTCGAACCTTTTCCCTCAAGTTGCCTTCCCCCACGTTCTCCAAGTCCTAACTGACAATTTGTAAATCCTGAAGTTTCAGACTTTATAGGAATTTGTAAACATCCTAACAATTAAAGGGAATCTTTCATCTGAGCGCTGTAATAAATGGTCTCACTTTAAACTTTTATACCCTTCATTCTCCTGGATATGTAGGAGATCCCCCTGTGTGTGTACAGGCCATCACAGTTTTGGGTAAAAAGGTAAAGATTAGGAGCTATTCATATGGTACTTATGACAAGAAGAGCTCGAGGGAAGATGTGCTAATGAGAAAGCAGGTGTGTGCAGATGAGGCAAATTATCAACCTCCAAGTATGTTGGAAATATCAGGGTTTGGATTTATGTCAGCAGAGGACTTTGGCCTGCCCACAGGAGAAAGTATCAGTGACCTCCCATCTAAGGTCAACTTTGGAAAAAACAGGAGGATAACGCTTACTTTTGTCTGAATTATTGAGATAATTGCCACAATGCTGGGTTTCCCCGGTTCTGTGGCATGTTTAACAGGCAACATATGTCGCTGTCAGACCAGAATGCTGTTTCCACCATCACCTGGCATGCCCTGAAGCCACAGTTAGTTTCACATCAAAACTTAAAGGTTAATTCTGTTAAAAAATCACCCAGGTGAGGTTTTCAGGTGCAAATTTATGCACAGACACGACACGTGTCTCCACACTTTGTGGATTACTAACTCTGTGGTTCATGGGGGCTCTAGAAAATCAGGGCAAAGTGCCGTGAATACAGTTATCAAGGACATGTTGTCTCACGTAGTAGGAGGGGCTCAGGCTTCCTGGAACCGTGGCCACCTCTAAAACTCTGACCACGGCCTGGAGATCTCAGCCTTGCCTTTGAAGCTGCCACTCAACCCCCACCCCACCCCCCGCTCTAAAAATACAGATGAAGTCTCTTGCTGGGGGCAACACGCTCTTAAGCTGCGGCTTGCCCCCAGCAAAGCCTGCACTGGTGAGTAAAAGGCTATATTTGATTGTAAGCACCCTGAAGGCAGGACTGTGTCTCACCATCTTTGATGGTGAGGCAGCAATGAGCATCTCACACTCAGTCCTCCCACAAGGCCGTGCCTGTAAAATATGTTCAGAACTCTTTACTGCATGTAGAATGAATGGGTGCTTTCTCCCTGCCCCTGGAGTCAGAGCCCCAATGTGCGTTTACTCTCCTGTACACTGTCAGTTTCAGAGGTATACAGTCAGCACTCACTACGGGCCCAACGCCATCCCGTTGGGCAGGCAGGTTCAGGGGGACCCTCAGTTGTACTGTGCCCCGTCTGCTGCATAGGTGCTTCCCAGCATGTGTTCCATGGGCTCCCAGGCTTCTGGGGGTACAGAAATGCTACTGATCATCTAAATGAATTTTATCTCTTTGTAAGTGATCTGAAGACAGAATTGGCTCTTGTGAAATCATCTACATCCATTTAAAATGTAATCCTTGTGTTTCTTTTTTTTTCTTTCTTTTTTTTTTTTCCTTGAGGAAGCTAAAAATTGGGACTGTCTTTGTTTTTCCCCAGGAAAACCTCTTTTTTGTGATGGAATTTCTCAATGGAGGAGACTTGATGTACCACATCCAGAGCTGCCACAAGTTTGACCTTCCCAGAGCCACGTAAGAGCCCTTCGAAGGGTCTGGGGTTTTCCACTGTTCCTGGCAGTCTCTGTGCCCCCACAGTGCCCACAGAACACCCCTTCCCTCCCTGGGGCGTGTTTGTTTCCTCACCCAGCACACCTAACTCCCAGGACGAGGTAACCCCCGAGAATATACCACACCAGGCAACCACGTTCCTAGTGTGTGAAGCTTACATTCTTGTCAGTGTTGTTTAATTTCTCTGTGTTTTGAAATCAACTGTGTAGTTTCTCAAGGAGATGCCCCAGTTCCTCGGGCTTCTAGAGGATGTGAGCAGGAAGAAAATGTGTACTCTTTGAAGAGAGAGCAGTCCAATGAAGCACAGATTTTAAAGGCGGTTGCAGGATGAAGCTGAGGCCTTTCGTGGAAAGGTCAATGCGAAGCCATAAAGCCTGTGGCTCCGAGCATGAGAATTCAGAATCCGGAGGGACACTTAGTCTGAGAATAAACCTTCACCTTCTTGAGCAGCCCTCAACACAAGCGAGTCGAACAGGCTGCCTATACCCATTGGGACTGCCCCTGAGCATCCCCTTCCACCCACCCACCCCCTTCCGGCCCCCACCCCCATCGTCCCTTTCCTGAATGGTAAAACCACTGTGACTTTTTTCTTTTAATGGTGCCACCAGGCCCATTTATAAATGCTGGGTACAGAATTGGCTTTATTTCTTTTCCCTTTTTTAACATATTTTTATTTATTTCAGAGAGGAAGAAAGAGCTAGAAACATCAATGATAAGAGAGAATCATTGATCGGCTGCCTCCTACACTCGGGATCGAGCCCACAACCTGGGCATGTGCCCTGACTGGGAATCGAACCGTCCTGCTGGTTCATAGGTCGACGTTCACCACTGAGCCACGCTGGCCAGGCAGACTGGCCGTATTTCTTCAATTGTCTTTCACTGGCTCCTAATGAGTGCTTTGAGTGGTGGTGTGTGAACCAGGTTGAAAGATGGACTTGTTCCCCAGCTCCTGCAAAAACCTTGCTGAGATCCATACCACTGATCTCTTGGCCTCCGGGAGCCATCCGCACACTGCCCAGAGATAATTGTAAGGGATAGCCACCACCGAAAGACCATCAGGCATTTTTCGTGCTAGAGAGGATTCACTCAGTCCAGCACCCTTCCCAGCTTTGTAAGGCATGAGAGCCATCAAACACCTGCTATCTGTGTTATCCAGGGTGATTGAGCATCTACCTATGAACCTGGAGGTCACGGTTTAATTCCAGGTCAGGGCATATGCCTGGGTTGCTGGCTCTGTCCCTGGTGCAGGGCATGCAGGAGGCAGCCATCAATGATTCTCTCTCATCATTGATGTTTCTATCTCTCCCTCTCCCTTCCTCTCTGAAATCAATAAAAATATATCTAAAATAAAAGGGAAAATTACTTTCCTATTATACTATACAATTGCATTTAATGTTTGGGTATATTCTATTGGGAAAAAATGACAGCTTGAGCATTGTCGTTTAAAATATAAGAATGAGCACCAGCTGCAGGTAGGGCTAACTTAGGATACCAGCTCTGCTTCATTCCCTCGGCGAGGACATCTTCCTTTTGTTCGGATGAAACAAAATTGTGTGTGTACACAGATAAATTGTGTATGCACAGAGGTGTGTGTACATTACGCAGAGGACTGCAGAGTAGTCACGGGGTAAAATAGGGCTTTTCTTCCGTTCCGTTAATGAATTGGTGGAGAACTCTGATTTTTCTTCCCTCAGGTTTTATGCTGCTGAAATCATTCTTGGTCTGCAGTTCCTCCATTCCAAAGGCATTGTCTACAGGTAAATGTTACCCTTTCAGACACACTGAAACGTCTGTATTTCATGGTCCCTTTAATGTAGTCGATGCTCTTTCATGCCATGAAATGCCAAGGGTGTTTCTGTGGCTGAAAGTTTCACACCCAGGCTTCCTGCCCATGGTGATAACACGGGTGATGATTTAATAGTAACCAAGTAAGCAATTCCAGTCTCCAAAGCAATAAGGGTCTGACCTTTGTTTGCTCTTTATTCCGGTCCTTCCTCTTAATCTTCTTCTCACCCCATTTTTCTCCCTCCCTTCCTATACTCTGCTCTTTCTCTTTGATACCTTGTTGCTTTCTCGCTCTGTCTCCTGCGCCTCCTGTCTTTGCCTGTGTTTGCTTTGGGCCACCTAGAATGCTCTCCTTTCGGGTGGGGGAGGCGGGGAGCTCTCCCCTGAACACTCAAGCACCCCTATGGGAACTGTAAGCCTACACCTTGTACAAGTGCACAGACCGCCACGTGCACCCTCTTTTGTGAATGGATGTCCTAAATGTCTCCATTACACGCCATCATTTCACATCCTTCTTGGATGAAAGCTACTGTACTTCAATCTCCTCACTTCTTTCCTCAAAACATAATTGACAGCATACAGTTGTCTGGTTTCTGACTCACTGCAGATTAAAGGGGGAGTAAAAATTAAAAAGAAAGGAGCTAGATGGAGGCCGGCCGTCCAGCTGGAGGCCAGCACAGCCACGCAGGGAGAAGGGGCAGTTGAGAACCTGACGCAAAGGGAAGACGCAAGACAACTAAAAGGACCCAGAAGAGTGGGTTCCTGGGCACTTCTGAGGAAATGGCACAGTCCTGACCCAGCGTCGTCTGTAAGGGTTCAGGGACGGCCCACACCGACTGTTGACGACAGCAGCTCTGTGTCACCCGGTTCAGACCCTCTCTCTCGGGGATGGTCAGCACTGAGCTGCGGTGCTTACAGGGAAGGCTGACAATCCGCTCGGGGAAGTCTCCCCATTTCAGAGGTGCAGCCAGGCGAGGGCCGCCCTGGGTAGAGTGATGAGACCACCCTCAGGGCAATTCTATTCTAACAACATTGTAATGACTGCAGCGAGGTCTTGCTATGCTTTTGTTTTTCAGGGATCTGAAGCTAGATAATATCCTGCTAGACAAAGATGGGCATATCAAGATAGCGGACTTTGGAATGTGCAAGGAGAACATGTTAGGAGATGCCAAGACGAACACTTTCTGCGGGACCCCCGACTACATCGCCCCGGAGGTAGGGATGTGCAGTGCCCCTTCCCAGCCCAGCACGCCCAGGCGGCACCACTGCTTCCTCCTCCCTGAAGATCAGATTTTAAGTATTCTCGTTCAGGATTGGGATTTGTGGAGGGTTTTTGTTTTTATTTTTGTTTTTGTTTTTTGTTTTTGAGTATTGCATGATTAGGGCTGCATATGCAGCTGTTCTCAACCTGTGGGTCGAGACCCCTTTGGGGGTCGAACGATCCTTTCACAGGGGTGGCCTAAATACATCCTGCATATCAGATATTTACATTACAATTCATAACAGTAGCAACATTACAGTTATGAAGTAGCAACGAAAATAATTTTATGGTTGGGGGTCACCACAACGTGAGGAACTGTATTAAAGGGTTGCGGCATTAGGAAGGTTGAGAACCACTGATATAGGGGCTGCTGTTATTATTGTATGAGAGATGGTACTCATGCTAATAAGGTCGGCTCTCCAAGTCTTGAATGATGCAGCATATCCTTTCTGTCATGGCTCCTCCCCACCCCAGTATTACTCTGCTCAGACCCACCAGAGAAAAAACAGTGGGGAAGAAGCAGGTGGACACTGAACAGGGTTATAAGTAAGCACCCGAGTAGTCCAGCGAGTCATTTTAGGAGCAGAAAAACCTACACTGTGGTTTCTAAGCTGCCGCGAGCATGGAGGGATTGCCGGCGTGCCTTGGTGTATGCTCCCTTCTGGGATCTGAGGACACAACGCTGGTGTCACATGTTATGCAAAGTTTTTGGTTTGTTGTGTTGTTATTTTTTTATTTTTTAAAAAAGAGAGGACATCACAATCACATTCTGAGCCCCCAGAAGAATGGCATTTGCTCAGAAGAGATCCATCCACCCAACGCTCCCCTCCTCTCTCCTTGTTATGGAGTCGCCCCAGCTGCCATCCCAGGGCGATCAGACACCCCCTTCCCATGCAGCCCTTCCTATTGCATCACACGTATCATCATTGCTTTTTTATCTTTGACTCTCCCTGTCCTATTGGATGCTGATTTCTCTAAGTCAGGAACTGACTTTTGTTCCTTTTTTAATAACTTATTATTTTGAAATAATTATAGATTCACAAGAAGTTGCAAAAACAGTACAGAAACATCACCCATATACACCCGTCACCCAGTTTTCCCCAGTGGTTACATGGCATATAACTATGATACACTCAAAACCAGGACATTGAGATTGCTACTATGTGTGCATAGTTCTGTACCATTTTGCAGCATATGTAGATTAGTGTGATCTTAATCATGTTTCTATCCAAAGACCGCATGCACAGCTTGGCACATAAGTTAATAATAAATAACCTTTTGGAAGAATGAATGAATAACCGTATTTATAAATAGGTGGTGATGGTTGTTTGATAGACAGTGATGGACCTCTGATTTCCTGGGTAAAACAAATTTAACAGCAAATCCCTGTCATTGCCAAAGGAACTGTGTCATCCCGACTCTACAAAATATGTGACTTTTCCCTGTGAGGGTGTGGTATTTAATTTTGATTTAACCTTGTTTAAATATAAGATTGGTCTCTGGTCAGCAAGAAATTACAGCTTTTAACTTTCCTGTCTACGAATACCTTATGCTACATCCTCTCCCTGAATCCTTCTTTCCTCACATCTCCCAGAATTTGGCTTCAGCGACCTCTCTCTCTGTAACTTCAGTCTCCTTCTCTCATCCTCACACATGCTTGTCTTCACCTGATTCCACTCTTGGTCCTCTTCTCTTCTTACTGTACATTCTCCATGAGCAACTATTTATCAGGATGGTTTTAAAACACCGATGTCAGTATGGCCAGCCCAAACTACTCCTCCTTGTTCTGGACCTATACGTCCATGTTCTTGTTTGAGATCTTCAACTAACGCCACAGACCATTCCAACAAAACAGGTCCCAAACTCCTTCCTCTGTTGAACTTGCTCCACCCCCACCCAGCCTTCTCCTTTATCCCTTTTTTGATGTTGTTGTTAATCCTCACCCAAGGATATTTTTTCCATGATTTTTAGAGTGGAAGGGACAGGGGGTGGGGGGTGGGGGGAGAAACATCGATGTAAGAGAGACACATCGTTTGGTTGCCTCCTGCACACACTCTGATTGGGGCCAGGGATTGAACCTGCAACCCAGGTACATTCCCTTGACCAGGAATCTAACCCAAGGCCCTGGGGTGCAAGGCCCGATGCTCTAACCACTGAGAAATACCAGCCAGGGCCTTTATCTCTTTGTTGGCAAATTGCACTATACACCTATCCATCCAGTCACCTAGCCAGGACACTAAGACTTATCCACGTTTTCTCCTTCTTTCTTACCCCTCCCAAATCCAGACACTAAGATCTTCTAAACTTAGACCTCATGGGCCATTGAACCTATTCTTCCCTCCCCAATTCTGTGACAGAATTAAGATCCCTAGATTCTTTCTCAGTCCCTTCGCTTCAATCCCCCATACTTCTCCTATCCCATCCTTACTGTTGGCACCCTCTCCAGGCCCTCGGCGCCTCTTGTCTGGACCCCAGTGATACCCTTTTGCCTGGCTTTTCTCTCCATCACCATCCAACTGCCAGTGCTTCTTCATTATATATTTTCAAGCTATTATTTTTAATCCTCACCCAAGGATATTTTTTAATGATTTTTAGAGAGAGTATAAGGGAGGAAGGGAGGGAGGGTGAGATGGGGGGAGAGCGAGAGAGAAACATCCATGTGAGAGAGACACATCGATTGGTTGCCTCCTGCATGTACTCCAATCTGGATCGAGTCTGCAACTGAGGTATGTGTTTTTGACAGGAATCAAACCCGGGACCCTTCAGTCCACAGGCCGACACTTTACCCACTGAGCTAAACTGGCCAGGGCTATATTTTCAAACTTTTTGACCTGCTCCCTCATCTATTAAAAATGCATCCTCATTATATGTATACTTATGATATATGAATCTCATACATTTTTGCCAATATTCTCTGTGTGTTTTAAAACATGTATAAAATGGAATATAATCAGGTTGAACTGAGGATAAAATAGTTTTAAATAACTAAATTTTATTAGAGTTATTAACAGTACAAACATGTTTATGCATTAAAATATTGGGATTAAATAACAAAAGACCACGCTTCAGATCATAGTTTTCAACACATGTGACCTCCCTCAGTCCAATCACTTCTCTTGTTGGGGATAACAGGACCTACCTCAGAGGTTCTTATAAATAAAATAAAACACATTCTGTAAGGAAAACCCTAACACAGATCAGCAAGCATTTGCAAACATTCTGTTTCAACAGTATGTAATTGAATATGAATCTACATTTTTCTTCCTCCTAACTTAAGACTGAAATTCTTTATTAACATCACCTAGCCTTAAATGCCTTAATTTCCACCACAGCTGTCTCCTGTCCTCCAAATTTCTTTTCATTTTTCCTGCCAAATGAAGTTGTTTACAAAGATGTGATGTTTGCCGTAACCGGTTTGGCTCAGTGGATAGAGCATCGGCCTGTAGACTGAAAGGTCCCAGGTTCGATTCCGATCAAGGGCATGTACCTTGGCTGTGGGCACATCTCCAGTAGGGAGTGTGCAGGAGGCAGCTGATCGATGTTTCTCTCTCATCGATGTTTCTAACTCTCTATCTCTCTCCTTTCCTCTCTGTAAAAAATCAATAAAATATATTTATAAGAT